ATACATATCATTGTGAAATGGGACAGTACGCATAATAAGTACTTTTAGTTTTGGTGCTTTGAGTATATATTGATGCTGATATTTATGTAGCTTTACTTAAAGGGATAGTTCAGATTTTTTGAAGTAGTGTTGTATGAGGTACTTATCCACAGACAGTGTATTACATACAGTAGATGTCAGTCGACATGTCCTCAGTTTGGAGAAGCAGAAGGGAGTTTGACACAGAAGCTAAGCAATCCACTGCTGTCGATGGGGTCAGCAGCGAAACATATTTTAGCCATTTAAAAAAAAAGTCCCACCTAAAACAATCAGCATCAGTTTAAGTGTATGCTACATTGAGACTATCTTGACTGCTTAACCTTTGCGTCAGACAGCCCTTTCCGACAGGGGAGCTGTTGATGGCTTCAGTTCCTGTCAGAGCCACCAGACAGTGATTTTAGCTCACTAAACATGGAAGCTGCTGTTCTACTGCTGCCTCCATTAGTTTGTTAGTTTGTGTTATTGTATAACTTTGGCATTTAGTTCAGATTCACCAAAGTCACATAATAACACAACCAAACTAACTGACTGAGACAGTGGTAGAACAGCAGCTCACATATTTAGCAAGCTAAAATTACTGTTTTTGTCAATGGAGTCTGGCGGCTTTGACAGGAACTGAGGCTGTAAACGGCTTCCCTGTCTGGTCTCACTCCGAAGTCGTTGAAATCTGGCGCTTGGGCAGTGGCTTGCTGCATAAGAAACCAATGTAAAAAGGCATCCTTTAACGTCTGCATGATATGCGGCCAGTTGCTGTTGTAGTTTCACAGCACCCGCCAGTGTCAGGGGGAAGTGTGGTAGGACAAGGACAAAAGTTAAGGTGGCCAAAGTGCAAGAGGGGTGGGTGGGAGGGGAGGTGGATGGGTCCAACAAACACTGACTTTCACCTGAGAGAGGCGGTGTTCGTGTCCCACAAGATTCTGAAGCCAAACCCTGTTCTTTTTTCCTAAACCTAACCACATGCTTTTGTTGCCTTAACCCAACTATGTGTGTTGGTTAAACGTAACCATGTGCAATAACTGTTGAAGGAAAAAATCGTCAATTGGTAATGTTGTACTGACAAACGGAAGTGTATCTTGAAAGAAGACATGTAACAGGCTGAACTTGACACGGTGTCCCAGAACGTCAACAACCAACAAACCCAGGGTGCCTTGCACATCGTATGTGGACGTGGAAAGTCTACGACCAAACGTCAATATGTGACGAGGTCAGAGTGAGAATGTGTTGGGAAGAAAGGGCTGGCTGATTGAAAGATTATGAAGTGAAAATACTCTCAAGATAGTGCACAGGTAAACTGATATTGATATTTTTAGATAGCTAAAAAAACAACAACAAACTATTCCTTTAAGTAATATGTCTGAGTACTTCTTCTACCTCTGAATTACTATTAATATAACATGCATGGTTTCTTGAATACTGACTGCAAAACAGTGTATGGGGATTAGTATATGGTGCATGTGGCACACAGTACTGTTTGTGGCACTGGGACACAGCTTGTTTCACTTTTTACACATATTGCCAAAATACTTCCGCTTTATCTGCTTGAATATTTGTGCAAAAATAAACTCTGCTTTTGATTATAATATTTTGCATTATGGTGTTTGAAACAACAAACAGCTCTCTGTTTTTATGTGTAAAAAAACTGCTCAGTCAGAAAATAATGATTTAATCGAGAGTCTAAAGATGCTAACTGGCTAAATTTAGGATAGATCACAGTTTTTTTGTCTGACAACAAAAAACAGAAAGATATATCACTTCACATTGTTATGTGTCGTATTAAATCATCACATAAGAAGTGAGCACACAGAGTCAGGAGTTACTGAAAGTTGGCTTTGTGCTGTTTACAGAGCCAACCTGAGCACAGTGATTAATTCCCTACCAAGAAGAGGTGGAACAGGATGAATTATATTTGTAAAAAGGGTCAATACTGTTTCAGTCACGTTTCATTATCATGACTCAATTAACATAATGGAAGCTGCCACAACATTTTAAAATCTGACTTTGCTGCAGAGATTTGTGAATATTGCTACAGTAAATCATGTGGACTGATGTGAGTGCAGCAGCGGGTAAGGTGAACACAACTACTATGTTAACGATAGATTAATAAACTCGAGCTTGCCCTTAGTCTCAGGGATGTGATGGTGCTTTGTGCAAAATGAATCCAGCGCCATCCGGTTTTACAAATGAGAGGAGTTCAGACTGAACGACAAAGAGACAGACGGTGGAAGACCAAAGTGCTTCTCAAATAAACAAATTCAATACACAAAGCAAAAGGCACTCACAAAATATATTAAAATCTAATATAGTGAATCAGTTAATAAACATCTGAATATACATTTTTTCCATTAAAGGTCTTTTCACACCAAGTCTGACATTTCCATGAAAATACATTTTTTAAAAACTACAGTTACTGCCTCGTGGTTGAATGACTCCAGCTAAGTTCAGTTTACATCTGACTCAAATGAAGCCAGGACAGTTGGCTGTGTTTCAAACATGGATGTTTCCACAAAGACACATGGATGTTTCACACACATCTTCATCCCGGTGGCACAGACACACAATTTCAAGGTGGACACCCGAGATTAGTGTCACCAATTCAGTATCTGACCAAATGTCTCCCCTTCTGTTCCTGAGATATGACGTTGACTAATGGTCATGAAAGTGCTTTGAGGAACATTATGACGTCACAGTGTAGATGACCTTTGACCTTTTGGATATAAAATGTCATCACTTTATTATTGTATTCTATCAGCCACCAAGTTCTAATCAGTTTGTCCTTGAGTTCAAGTGGACGTTTGTGCCAAATTCAAAGAAATTCCCTGAAGGTGTTCTTGTGATTGTTCATTCACGAGAATGTGACCAATGGGGTCACACAGACCTTGACCAGTGACCACCAAATTTTATCCAGTTCATCCTTGAGTTCAATGGGATGTTTGTGCCAAAGTAAAAAAAAGAAAGAAAAAAAACTCCCTCAATGTGTTTTTGAGATACTGCATTCACAAGAATGACACAAACTGGGTCACAGTGACCTTGATCTTTGACCTTCGACCACCAAACTCAGTTCATTGTTGAGTCCAAGTGGACGTTTGTGTTAAATTTGAGAAAATTCCTGCAAGGCCTTCTTGAGATATCTCGTTCATGAGAATGAGACAAACGCAAGGTCACAGTGACCTTTGACTTTTGACCATGAAAATGTAATCACTTCATCCTTGAGTTCAAGTGGACATTTGTGCCAAATTTAAAAAAAAAAATCCCTACAGGTGTTTTTGAGATATTGCTTTCACAAGAGTGACACAAACTAGGTCACAGTGACCTTAATCTTTAACCTGTGACACTAAAATGTCATCTGTTCATCGTTGAATCCAAGTGGATGTTTGTGCTAAAGTTGTAGAAATTCCCTCAGGTGTTCTTAAAATATCTCATTCACAAGAATGGGACACACTGACAGCAAATAAGCTCTGTGGTAAACAGAAGGTTATGATACTGGCACATTTTGTCCAGCAAGACAAATTGAGGCCACTTTTATGATTTTCAAAGCCTAAATGCAATTGCAGGAGGTAAAAAGCTAGCATTAGGCTATAAACAAACCGCGCCACAGTCACATGACTTAACGGCCCCACCACAATAATAATGGCTGTAAAGCCATGGTCGACATGACGATGATCAACCTCCTTTTTTAACTTACATAGAAGCTTCAACATTGTGGGGTATTTACTGATGTATTTTATGTCGTGGAACAAAACTTGAAAGTCTCTCCAGCTTGTGTTAAATACAGACCTTAATTCAGGCATCTAACCAAAAACTCATTCAAAAAACCTATTGGCTTTGAAACAAAGGAACCAGGAACCACATTTTTAGAACAAAATAGAACAGGCTGCAGTGAGAGTCTCTCTCTGTGGAATATTTAAAAAATAGCGAGTTTGTGCATTTAGTCCTTCTCAGGCAAGCGCAGGGGTTTAGTGTTACTGTAGCCCACAGGAACGACGCTCTGCGACCCGAAGTTCTGGTTTTCTCTTCGGCTACCTTTAAGGACGATGTTATGATGAATCATCTCTACTGATTAAGTGCCTAAAATATTCTCTCAACCTCTTCTTCCAGTGGAACAGGATATGAGACCAGTGAAATCACAGATATATGTATATCAGGTGGGAATTGTGACACTAAAAACAGTTACGCAGCAGTTGAAAAGAATAAACAACAACAATACATGAAGGCTGTCGTGTTGTAGTTTGAGGTTTCACTCAGTTTCAGATCTTCTCTGAGATTATTTTGTTTTACTGTTTTCAGAATACTGATGATTTGTTTGGGACTTGGTGTGAAAAGGCCTTAAGGCACGATATAACAGCAGCAACATTCAGAAGAAAGAGCCGCCAGTCGCTCAGAGTTCTGTCATGTTACAGAAAAAAAAGGAACAAATGGGTCCAAAAGGGGAATAAAAGTCATTTTCAACAGCGTGACACTGTTGGCATTAGGTTGTTGTAACTTGACGACTTAGTAGAAAAGAGAGGAAAATAAAAAATGCAAGAAGCCCGCGCAGAAGAGCGGGTGTTTCCACTCGACTGCAGGGAAACCAGAGTCTCAGAGGGTCAAAGGTCAGACGGGAAGTTCCCAAACCTGGAAGAAGTGTCCGGACTTACACAGTGACGGAATAAAAACAAGGAGGCAAAAACAAAAGATCTTCATATATTCAGGGACAAAAAAGTTTTAAGAATTGGCAGACAAACTGCTCCTGCCTGATGAGCGGTCAGTCCATTCTGAAGGGTTGGGGGTCTCAATGGGGTCGATCTGAGGAAAGACCACGAAACACAACCTCTGGCCCACGTATGTCGCCCTCTCTGCAGGAAAACAAGAGTTAGATATATTATTATTATGTATTAGCTACAACCAGTGGTGGAGGAAGTACTCATATCTTTTATTTAAAGGGACAGTTCATCCCAAAATAAAAAACACATGTTTTTTGAGTGTTGGAGATATCGGCTGTAGAGATGTCTGCCTTTTCTCCAATATCTAGAACTAGATGGCACTCAGCTTGTGGTCCTTAAGGTAGCTTAAAATTAGGGCTGCCACTGACTAAGGATTTTCAGTAACAATTTACTTTAAGGTATCAACATAAGGGTGACATGACACTGTCATAACTATGACATGACACAGTCATGAACTTGTCATAAACATTATGTACATGTCATAAACGTTTATGACTGCTGTCATTAAGTGTCATTTGGTTTTTGTAATGACAAGTTGACATTAATAAAAGTGACATTACCAGAAGTTGTCTTTGTCATGACAAGTTGACATTAAATTTGTTTGGGATGTCCTTATTATGACAACTTGACATTAACCAGGATGACATTACCAGGAAATGTCTTTGTATCAATCATTATGTCAACTTGTCATAAACACAAAAAGAGGTGCATATCATGTTAATGTAATAAAGTTGTTATGACAAAGACATCTTCTGGTAATGTCATCCTGGTTAATGTCAAGTTGTCATAATCAGGACAACCCAAACAATGTCAACTTGTCATTACAAACCGAATGACAATGACAGCAGTCATAAACATTTATGACGTGTACATAATATTCATGACAGGTTCATGACCGTGTCATGTCATAGTTATGACAGTGTCATGTCATCTTTATGTAGATACCTTGTACTAGTCGACCAATAGTCATCATTTAGGGCCATTAGTCGACTAGTTGCCCGCATTTTTATGATATCAATTTAATTATTAAATTACATGTTTTGGGCAGGGCAACACAATGGTTTGAGTTGAAGGTGTGAGAAAGAATAGTATCAGTAACATTGTTAACACTGTGCTACATTACAGAGAAATACAAAAACGTACGAATGAACCTGCATTAATATAGGTCTATATTTACATATATTTATCGGCCAATATTTGCCTCCATAATGTAGAAGAGTAGACATATAAAGTACCATCAAATTGAAATACTCAAGTAACATACAAGTAAATTATACCTAAAGGGGAACTACGGTGATTTTAAAAATGTATACATGTTATCCTCTGGTCTAAAACAGTGCAGAAGTATCAGTGAAAGTGAGCCACTCTCTCCCAAATCCAAAAACCAGAGCGGTAAAACTTCAGTTTGTGATGTCATAGGGTATAAAGTCTGCAGTTGCTATATTCTATCTATTGCTATATTCTAGCGCAGTGGTTCCCAACTGGTGGGTCGTGTTCCAAAAGTGGGTGACAGGCCCATTCTCAAATTTGTAAGAAACACACTTCATATTAGAGTACAGTGAATTTCCAGCACAGAGCTTTTATTTTGAAGTGCCATTTCCTGCTGTTGAGTGACTGACTGCTGGACAGCCACTTAACAGTGAAAGCAAACTAGCTCAACAACATAACAAAAAGCAAGTATGATGCAGAATGTATTAAACTGTGTGGAACTTGAACTAATGACTAAGGAGGGATCTGGACCCCAGGGGTGGACCAGTTAGGAACCACTGATCTAGATGACACTGAGAGCATGCAGGAGAGTGTTCTGAGTATATGGGTACATTTTCTGTTTCAGAACCGAGAGCACTTCAATAGAATAAAGCTCATTTGGGTATAAAAAAAACCCTCAACATTCTGTGAGTCCACAAAATCAGGCACCCATTAAATGTTGATGGAGCAGCTCCAGGCTTTACACTTGACACGTGACATCACAAGTTAGAGATCTCCTTCTCTGGTTTCTGGCTTTGAGAGAGAGGATCTCATGTTCACATATATTGATTTAACTTTCCCAGGCCATGGAAATAACATTAAAATTCTTAATTTAGGTGGTGTTCCCCTTTAAGTACAGTACTTTGACTAAATGTACTCAGTTACTTTCCACCACTGGCTATCACAGAGTCCAAACCTCCAATCAGACCTCCTTTAAGGAACTCACCGATGAAGTTGTAGATGCACTTTGGTTTTTCTTTCCAGTGGACGCCCAGGAAGTAGACAGGTACCCCGGTGAGCATGATGACTAAACCCACGCCGCAAACCACCGGCTCTGAGTAAAGACTGAAACCCAGCAGCAGCGCCCAGAACATCAGGTAGCACACAGGAACCAGCAGGTTCACCTGAAGGAAACACACAAGGTTTATGTTTACAATCATTCATGGATTTATAATAATCTATAATGGTAATGAGGTGCATGTGGTGGTGACATGGTGAGATAAAAGCAGGGGTGGTAGTAGTAGTCAGGTCTGTTACTTAAGTAAAAGTATTAATACCACACTGTAAAAATACTCAAGTCAGAGTCCTGCATTGAAAATATTATTTGAGGAAAAGTATGTAAATATAATCACGAAATTATGGATGACTGGTGATTATTTGTATATATTTTATTTGTATTATCAACTCTTCATATGCTTTGTGCATAATTTCAACTTGTAAACTAACTAGTAACTGAAGCAGATGAATGTAGTGCAGTAAAAGTACCACATGTTCCTCTGAGATGTAGTGCAGTAAAAGTACCACATGTTCCTCTGAGATGTAGTGCAGTAAAAGTACAATATTACCCTCTGAGATGGAGTCGGGTAGAAGTAGAAAGTGACATGAGTACCTCAGATTTGTAACTTTCACACAGTACTAGAGTAAATGTACTTAGTTACATGGGATAAAGAGTGCTGGTACCTTGATTGGTCGGTACAGGTTGGGTTTCTTCCAGCGGTAGTACAGCAGGCCTGCGATGGTGACGCCGTACGACAGATAGTTGATGAAGGAGACGTAGTTGATCAGGTTGTGTGTCTCTCCGATGCAGAGGATGACGATGGTGGCGGCACACTGAAAAACACAGCAAGGCCGGATGATGTAATGAATACTAAAGGGGAACGGATCTGCACCAATCTGTTCTAGGTGTACCCTGTGGTTTCTTACCAGTTTGCTGTACCTGGAAAACCTCCAAAGTCACCACTGAGTGCCACTTAAAATAAATTGAAAATAACTGAAATATGGGATTACATGCATGTTGAATTTCAACAATAAAAGTGCAGTTTTAGGACCAGATGACCTTTAGTGACCCCTGTGGGGGAATCATAGCACTACAGATGGACACAGGACACACTCACAAAATGTGGCGCGTGAATATCAGCAGAGGAAATGTGGGATATTTAATACATGACAGGTTAAACACTAAAGCATATTTGGGGAAAAGGAACATTTTTAAACTAGAAAAGCACTCGGAGAGCGCAGACCTCCACCAAGCAGCTTGGATTTCCCGACATTTTATTATTTTATCCACTTCACTTCAACCGATCACCACCAAAATTATCATCTGTTCCTTGTCCCATTATCAACCTTTCCTGAAAATTTCATCAAAATCTGTTTATAACTTTTTGAGTTATTGTGCAAACAAACAGACAAACGCTGGCGAAAACATAACCTCCTTGGCGGAGGTAATAACAACATACACTGCTGCTGAAAACTGGTAACGCTTTACTTGAAGGTATCTACATGAGAGTGACATGACACTGTCATAACTATGACATGACACTGTCATGAACTTGTCATGAACATTATGTACATGTCATAAACGTTTATGACTGCTGTCATTAAGTGTCATTTGGTTTTTGTAATGACAAGTTGACATTGTTTGGGTTGTCTTGATTATGACAACTTGACATTAATCAAAGTGACATTACCAGAAGTTGTCTTTGTCATGACAAGTTGACATTAAATTTGTTTGGGATGTCCTTATAATGACAACTTGACATTAACCAGGATGACATTACCAGAAGATGTCTTTGACATAACAATAGTAATCACTATGTCAACTTGTCATAAACACAAAAAGAGGTGAATTTCTTGTTAATGTCAAGTTGTTATGACAAAGACATCTTCTGGTAATGTCACTGTGATTAATGTCAAGTTGTCATTATAAGGACATCCCAAACAAATTTAATGTCAACTTGTCATGACAAAGACATCTTGATTAATGTTCATCATCATCCTCTATTTCTTTTGTTCTACAGTCACAGAGATCTTCACTGGTAAAATCTTCAGTTTATCCATAGTGTTAATGTATGGAAACAGCCTCTCAGTGAAAGGGTGTGTGAAGGTGTGTATGCGTGTGTTCCTATCAGGATCAGAGAACGACAGCTTTCCTCTCTCCTGGTCCAAAATCACTCTGATCCTCTTCAACTTCTTCTGCACTCGGAGATCAGTGGGTGGGTCTGATGGGAAGAACGCTGAGTATTCACCTACAGAGAACCATATTCTCCATACTTCAGACTGTATGGGTCCCTTCCTCTGGACAGACTCTGCTAACACACCCAGTGACCAGTATGTACTGTCTCCAACCTCGACATCCCAGCTGTGAGTCCCTGAGTTAAAGCCCTCAGAGCCCAGGACAGACCAGTAGTAACCATCAAACCTCTCTGGATTATCAGGAAGCTGCTGTTTCTGTCCTTGTCTCACACTGGTCAGATCTTCAGACAGGATGAGTCTTGTACCAGCAGTGTTTGGGTCCAGAATCACAGGAGTGTAGGAGACCACGTTCCTCATCTTGTTCCAGATATTGAAGGTCAGGTTGCCCAGGTGTTTGGCCTCCTCTATCAGAGCTCCTGAGGGCAGCTGTGGATCATCCAGCAGGGGGCGCTGCTGGACTCTGTCCACTGCAGCCTTGTAGTTGAGCAGGAATGAGACGTCTTCAGCTCTCAGCTCGTCCTCTGTGGCTCTGACTGTGTCTGAAAGAGCTGCTATCTCTCTGCTCAGAGCCTCCATCTTCTCCTTCATCATCTGACTCTTCTGCTCCTCTTCCTCCCTCAGTGCAGCCATCCTGGCCTCCTCTTCCTC